TCATTCTCTTTATAAACATCCACGGGCTGCGGGCAAGAGGACACACTCTTACTTTAGCCGTGAACACACACATTGGCCACTGTGATGTGGCAACTCCTGCGCTGCTAGCAGATTCTCTGCTGCAGTTATTATGGTGGAGCAGAGGATTACAGCTGTTTCAGCCACACTTACACACACCCAGTAAAAATATAAGCTTGGTGAGGCTCCTCTGCCTTACAGTTTCAATTGAACTTGACACCAATTCTGATTCACACCCCGCGGCCCGGCCTGTTATCACACGCTGTCCTCGCTCATTGTTTTTCTTTCAGTTTTGAAAGTTTATGGGATGTTTCTGGGTTGTGTTTTTTCGCAGGGTTTTAAGTAAGCACTGAAGGTGCCTCGGTCTCTGGCTCTTGAGTGGCTGTGAAGTGTTTGTGACAGTTGCTAAGCCAACACCCTGTGTAATGGCCCCGGCAGAGTATGAACATACACGTGTACACACATTTGCGAGATGGGGACTTCTGACTGCTTGTATGGATGCTGACAGAGCTGTTTAGGCGATGTAGATTACTGTCGCCTCACACTGGAGAGGTGTCATCCACCGCTGCCTGATAAGAGGCAGACTCTAGTGGACTAATTGTCTGTCTGCGTACGTGTTGAGATGAAATGACCTGCTTGGAAGAGAAGTGTCTGCAGCAAGTGTCAGTGGATGTGCTGGACACCTGGAGCTGTATTACAAAAAGGTTCTAAGTCCATAATCCTGTCCGAGACTTGACAGATATTATATGACTTGAGATAAGAAGTTTCTGTAATACAGACGCTGAAGTACAAGTTGTATGCTGGCAGTGCATTTGTAGAAGTTTCTGCCCCCTCCCAAACATAGTCCTTGATTGTTTTCTTCAGAAATTTTAACAGTACCTTTTTAAAGGTTTAAGAGCTCTGACTATTGCCAGCTGAGCAATTGGTATCTATATCTCCCTTAATGAACTTGAATGAAAACTTGTGGTTTTAATAGGAAAGCTGCTGTTCTTCGATTCTGTGCAACTGACACAGATTCTGGTGTTTATGTTAAAGTTGGCTATTAAAATTCAACGTAGCTGCACAGGACATTTGTCAATATGAAATCATATCACTTTCACTTGAAACTGAAAGAGATTTACTATATGACGTATAGATATTGGGATGGTAAAATTTAGTTTCTGTTTTCAAAACTGTTACAGGCATTATTGTGCATAAACCTGTTTGTTTAAATCTGCAATGGTTTGATGCTAAGCTTCCAGCTTCTTTTCTCAATGATGATGGTTTCTTATTTTCCTATTTAACTGTTGCTGAGAGGAATATTTGTCCTTTTTGTCTGGTTGAAACATAATACAGCCTTTTGTTCCCCATATAGAGAATATTACTAAGTGGTAGTGTATATGGAACATACAAATGTGTACCGACAATAGCTTCAGAATTAAACATATGGGACACATAATTCTTCTATTGGGAAATAGATGTGAATATAATATTCATTTGGTTTCACAACCAGTAAATAATTTGACATGTGTCGTAGACAAGATGTTATACACTAGCTGTTACTTACTCAGTGTCATCTGTAGCTGTCACCGACCAGCTAACTGTGAGTGTATAAGGATGGATACTGAGATGCCTCACATTTAAAAAGAAAAAAGTTGTAGTTTGTTTTGCAGCTCAAACAAGCACCTGTTACTGCGTGATCCCCGAAGCACCTGCTCCCTCCAAACCTCCAATATGTCCGGCATTGTGTCAGTGAGCGGACTCACTTGTGAATATGGCCCAGATATCTGTTCACAGTTTATGGCATTACATTTGGGGGATTAAAACAGAAGAGCAGACACTGTCATTCCACAAAAACAGATCCGAGCCACAAATGAAATGAATATAATGAATAACTGGGAAAACAACTTTGAAAAAGCAATTTGGCATATTGCATACGCCGGGCCGCTAATGTAATGGTGGGAATGTTGTTGATGGCAGTGGATGTCACACAGAGCCATGTAAGGCGAGGATGAGCGGCGGGGTAATGCACAATAACCCGGCGCATTAACCTCCGGCCCTCCCCTTCTCTCTTTTTAATCCAGCAAATTCCATTATTCCCCCTCGCAGGTCCATTTGCCTGTACAAGAATCCTACCCTGCTGCCAACCTCCTTTTCTATTCCTGCTATCAGTGCTCGTATAACCTGCCCATGTCTCCAGTGTTAATCTACCACCGCAGGGCCTCAAGCACTTTGAATAAAAACACAGCTCCAAATCCGCCACTTTGAAAAGGCTACTAATTGCACAAAAGAGCGATCATCCCCTCAGATGGGTTTAAAGACTTAAAACAAACAGATTAAAGCACTAGTAAAGTGATAATGCAGGTTTCACTGTAATTTAACGCATAAAAGAAGAACAAAAGTGGGGCATTCTGCGCTTAGAACAATGTGCCATTACACACGCCAGACACTGCCAAGAGCCACACAGGCCATTGACCTAATATACTGGAATCACATATGAACACATGAAGCTTAAACTGGGCCAGCCCCCCCCACACACACACATCCATTAAAGTGCTTTACACTGTGGCTGTATTTCCTGTGACAAAGAGCAGAAATGCAGCAAACCTTAAAAATCCTCTTTTAATAGGGTGACCTTAAGTGTTTATCCCTAAATTTAATTCCAAGCCTGTGCAAATGTGCTGGAATGCACTTGTTTGATCACTGAAGCAGGCCGATGAACAAAAGTTTTAGTCACACTCTCAGCCCTTGCATCGATCATCAACCGCAAAACACATAAACAAACAGCTACTGCCAATGCATTTGTATTATTTCTCTGTTCGTTGTTGTGTATAGTTGGGCATTTTAATTTAATACTTAAATAACTGGCTACATGTTGACAGATAGGGTTGGGTACTGATGTCAAAATGAAATGGCAATTAAGTCTGATCATCAGGCTAGAAATGGGTATTCTTAAGTACTTAAGGTGGCATTGAATGCTTGCTCTGAGTCTTAGGTTTGGTTACTTATACTTCGATTAGACATTTGATTCAAATAATTAACCTAGCTAATTGTAAACTTTATTTTAAGTTCTTGTACAGCTGCTTTGTGTTCAGAGGAAAGAAAGAAATGTAGAATCTTTTATTTCTGTTTTTGGTCTAATAGAAGTCATATTTACACATTTAGTATAAAATTACCTGAATCAGCTTGTATGTGTATGCAAACTGGTGGTTGTTAACACCCACAAATTCACAAAATAAGCTATAGAGCAGTGTATCTACAAATGTGGCCCGCAATAGGGTGCCAGGTGGTCTACTGACAGTTTTCTAATTCACAATGAAAATAATTTCTTCTGGTTTGTTTAGCAATTAGTAAATGTTCAGTAATGTCCCTTGGCTATTACTTGGAAAGTTGGATATAAGCTTATCAGCAATCTGTGCAGTGCACTGGAGCGGTGACACTTGATTTCTGACTCGCGCAGAGCTGCTGTGCCAGGATTTTCCTTTTGGAAAAGATGAGTTGATGAGAAGACCGCAAACGTCCAAAAGTTGACGAGAAAAATGGACAACTGAATTTCCCTTTATTTTGCCACTTAATACCGATCCAAAACCACTCTGTTTAATTTGCCAAATAACAATTGCTGTATGCAAGTGTTGCTAATATCAGGCGCCATCACAAGTCAAAACATGCTAGCTCCAGTGTAGTGATCCTGCCTGCAAGAAAGGATTAGATTAAAGAAGGTATAAGGGTACCTTATTCTGCCACATCAACAATCGTAATGTTCATTCATTTTTCTCATTAATGTTATTTGAGAGCCAGTCTAGACATGTTAAAATCCTTTAAAAACGTCAAATCCTTCTACATCATTAAACATTTCTGAATCTATGAATATGTAAAGTTTTCTTAATTTGAAAACATCCTTTTAGTGTGCACACACATCATTCAAACATCACACTGTAGGGACAAGAAGAAACACTGATTTCTGACTGGAGGGGGGCTTAGTACGTTTAGTATCTCTGCTATAAAGTAAAGTGTTGGTGTGTGTCACAATCAAAGAGCAAGGTCATCTTCTAGACACCTCCTTTTGCACTGTCATACGAAAATATATCATGCATGGGGAACATCTATTATTGAAGAGGTAGGAAATCGGCACCACTGTTAAATGTAGCAGACCAGAATGATGTGTTCTGAGTACTGGGTGTGGCCACACAATCATAAGCATGCCCAAATATTCAGTAGTTGACTTGTTACTTTGACAGCAAAAAGTTTATGGAGTGGTCAAAGGGCATTTGGGAAAATATCCTTTTATGATCATGCAGTTAAAAACATAAGGTAATCTTGGGAGATGGTAAGATCTGTTGGAAACACTGGTGAGAGTGTTTGATATGCTTTACAGTCCGACTGGGACAGAGACATCATGGGCTTCTGCCCACTTGGCATTAACCCGTGTCTAACCCTTCCGCGTTGGCTCTGTCACAGTGAGTGTAGGCAGCTCGTTTGCATTGCGATGCCACTGGGCCTTTTATTCTGCGCTCAGTAGGTTTTACTTTGTGGTTTGGCTGTAACTTCAACCACTGGACCGCCCTTGTTCCCCCGTCCTCCCTCCCTTCCCTGTCTCTGTCTATGAAAAACCAGTTTCACACAGTTGGAATAGATTATTTTTCTTACAGTGTGAACAAATAAATTTTTGTCCTTGTGCTTTTGTTGTTGCACTGAAACCTCCCGAGGCTTATATCCTTCATCGTTATTTCATACTTTATTTTGCAGGGTACAGAAAAAGTATAGTGTACTTCTTAAGATCAAATAAAGGTTATGTTTGCAGACACACACTTAAATCAGACTGCAAAAAACAGGACAAGAAGGCCTTAAAAGTGTGAATACAGAAGAACAACATCTCTGGATTGCCTAATGGCCTGAATATGTGGTTAAACATAACTTTACCTCTAATGTCTGTATTGTTAAGTATTTCCTCTAATGGATATGTGGACTTCTCCGTTATCTTTAATTCAAATCTTTTCTTTCAGTTGGTCGGGGAGGCCCAAGAGCTGTTCTCGGTGCGCCACGGTCCTGTGCGAGCTGCTCGCATTCTGCCAGCTCCTCATATCAGTGAGTATCTTCAGTACCTCGCCTACATACAAAACCACAAACTCCAAAGCACACACTTCGTATTCTAACTTCAAATAAGTCAGCTTAATAAAATCAGTTTATCTGCATATTGCTTTAAATTGGTAATATTGCCGACATCTCCAGAGAGTTAGTGCACCAAAAGGCTGTAAATGCTGCACCCTCAAGGTTTTCCAGCCTGACAAGTACATTTCAGATGATTCTTTGTTGTGGTGTTGGTATTTTTCTATAAAAACAAAATTTCTCCTACAAAACCGTACTGTTTGAATGATGTTATTAAATTTAATTTGTTCGACTTCATAATAATAATAATAACCTTTGTCAGTTGAAATACATTTTAGAAAGCAATAGTTCAACATAAATACGCTTATTCTCTTTGTTGCCAAGAGTTAAATGATAAGATGCCACTCTAGCTAGCCTAGCCTGGCTCTGTCCACCTACTAACCAGGAGTGGCTAGTAACGTGTCACAAGAACGCACGTGAGTAAAAAAAAAAAATTTTTTAAGGAACTAGTACTTTGCATGTTCCTTTTTTTTTTTTTTCAAACTGTGCTTCTACTCTTTACTTGAGTATATTTTTGAGACTTTTTGTTGCGCTACATTGAAACCTCTTTTCCCTAAGTTGTAATGATGATGGAGCAAAGCCCAGAACAAGAGGCAGCTTCCAGCAACTATCCCTGACCTCATCTGGCCACATTTTTATACAAAAATCTATCAAGTAACTCAGCAATTTTCACTTCTACTTAAGTAACTTTTTATAGGACTAATTGTACTTTTACTTGAGTAATTATTTTCGGTACTCTACTCGCGACTGCTACTCTAACATCTTAAGCTCATTTATTAACATTATATCATTATATCTTTTTTTTTATTTTGAATAAACATGAGAATTTGTGGTTTTAATAATCTAATTGCACAAAATGTCAAACTATTCCTTTAAGAGCCACATCACAGCATCTGTTTGGCAACTATTCAATTCCAAGACAACATAACAACAACTATACATGAAACTAGACTAGAGCCCTTGTTCACCTTGTCTCACCACATGAATGGCAGACCGCAAATGCTCCCTTAGCTTTATTATTTAACACCAGATTTATCTCTCTAATCCTCAAACGTGGAAGGGATATGGCAGGGGAACACATTTTCTTTGTGAGTCCTCTGAAGTGTCTTTTCAGGATAAGTTTAAATGTCTGTCCTGGAAAAAAAAGCTTTGGTTAACTTGATTTCAGCATTCAAGGTCAACACTTAAAATTAAATTTCGTATGGCACGTCCTAATGCAGTTTTGGGTTGTGGGCATTCTAAGTGGCGCTATATCATTAAAATTAAAGAGTGCTCCATGCTGTCTCATCCTAATGTTGAAGTCAATCTACGATTAGTGTTGGCCTGTTCTCAGTCAGCGGTGGCAAGCCTCTGAAGTCAGTGCTTTCTGTCTGCCAAAGCTCTGCTGGAAACTTCTCACTGTGCCTTCACTGTTCTGTTAGCAGTTTCCCTCTAACCCCTCTAAATCTAAGTCTTCTCTTTAAGATTCTTTAATATTTTGTTTAGGTAAACGCACATGTCATGGATGCTCTTTGCGTTATCTGTTTACATTTATTAATTGTAACCTATACCACGTTTTTACCCAGGATTTGTCTTCCTGATACTATTTCTGGTGCTGCCTAATGTCTTTTTAGATTCCCAAAACATAAAAAATAAATTAAAGTAAGGACTTCTTTGTAGCTGCTGCAGGGAGACATCTTAAATAGAAGAGGGAGAGATACCAATTCTTCTATCAATAAACAATAATGTAATGCTTCCAGAAGACATGTTGCATTAATAGTAAGTGGCAAAAGTCATTCTGGGAAAGTCAGAATAAACTAATGTATGCAGAAGTCGACAAGAAAGGACGGAGAAATGTAGGTACGTTAAATATTAGATTACAACAGGTCATCATTAATTAACCCCTTGAATGCATCGACTATAACAAATTGATGATATGTAACAGAATAAGAGTATTTGAGCATATCTGACTTGCTGGGTCCTGTCCCATCTTCTACTCTTCTACTCACTGGCTCCATGTTTCCATGACCTTTTGAAGGAGTCAGTACATTTTTTCCATCCACATGTTTTTTAGACATGTTTTGCATTTGTGCATAAAAAAAAAAAACTGAATGGAAATACTGGAAATTAAAAATATTAAAATATCACAGAAAAGCACTTGGCTGAGATGGTCAAGTTTTGTACTGATGAAAAGCAATAGCAACAGAGAAATTCAGTTTAATTTTAAGGGAAACTTGACTTATGATAATATCATGCCTGCTCAGTTTAGCACTACATCATTATTGTATTATTGGACAAAACTTGCTTGTCATGACAGTCACCCTGACTAGCGTGATAGCTAGAAAGACGGACCGAAAACAAGGATTTAGCAAACACAAAAAACGAAACATGCATAACATCATAGTGCTTAAAGCTGCAGTAAAAAAAACGTTTTGTCATATTCACTGAAACTTTCACTATATCCTGACAGTTAATCAGATAATCTGTGAATAATAATTCCTCTGGCTCCTCATAGTGCTCCTAATGACATTTGCAAGAATCCACCGGGCCTGACAAAAACAGTCAGAGCCGAAAAAGATAGCTGACTGTTGAGTCTGATTCCCAGCACCGGTATTTGCCAATCTGGGGATGAGACAATTCAGCAATTCACTATCTTCAAGCCATCAACCCAAAGCGTCTTTCTAGTTTGCTTGGCTCTGATAGGACGTTTTTGTTCAGGCCCGGTGGATTATTGCAAATGTCATCGGGAGCACTAGGAGGAGCCAGAGGAACCAGATTTTTTCACAGATTATCTTTCTCATGTACTACTGTCAGGATATTGTGAAAGTTTCAGAAAATATGACAAAAAGTTATTTTTATAAATATTACCTACTGCAGCTTTAATCTGGCATGCCATCCAACTTTGTTAAAATTCTTTATCTGAGTCCTGTCATTATCCGTCTGTTCTGAGAATGACATTCAAAGAACTGACAGAAAACCTCCCAATGTGTTTTGTATCTCAAAATCTCACCCTCAGTGGATCTGGAAAAACTGCTGGCGTGCAGTAATCTAGCAGAGTGCAGAAAGTGGAGTGAACTGTACAGGTGCACAACCTGTAAAGGTGCCGAGCACAGCTGCTGGCACTGAGCACTGACTCTGAGCTGCTTGTGCCCTATGGGAGCCAACAGTTGTACTATGCTAACAGGGTTACTGTCTTGCAATAACTTGCACTAATTTTTGTTGACTTTGGTTAACGGTTTCAGCTTTAGGAAGTTGGGAGTGACAGCTGGGGCTTAAAATATCTTCACAGGTGAGATATAAGGAAAAACAGTGTGTAATACGATTTGAAAACAGGTTAACTTTGTAGGTGTGCATATCTAGGAATAGCCTTGTAGTGAGAGGATGGACTTGACACTGACAGTTGCGACATTCGAAAAATATTGTCTGAAGTGTTTTAACATTTTAAGAAGACGCTAGACAGAGCATGTGGAAAACCATGTACAGAAACTGTCTTCTCATACCTAAATAACATTTTAAACAGCAGGAATTATCGTGTTTTTTTGGTAGCATTTGGTAATTTGCTGACTGAAAAAATATTGTTAATATTGATTTGATTTCAAGTTTCACGTCTTCAGCTGCTGTAATGACTAATCGTATATTTGAGAACAAATATATTGCATATTGCTTTCAAATAAAAGTCCTCCTTTATTTATTTAACAGAATGTAAAGTTTTAGACAAGCTGCAATTATTGTTCCTAGTCTCAACCAAATGTTCAGTAAAAAATCCTTCTGTTTATATAGAAAAGCTTCTTTTCAAAGTACAATGCACACCAAGTTGTGTGAAGGTATATATTAAAGTTTCTCCTTCCACAACTGTTTATTTTAATCCTGTTTCTCCATTTTATCATCCTATCTGTCATCATGTCTCCTCAAATGGTAAAATAGTCACAGTGATGACCCTGGAAAGTTGAATGCCTTATGAATACCAGTGTTTATATCCTCAAAGCTACGGTGCAAATGGTTTAGTTGTTCCACTGATTAGATCCTTTCCAGACATGAAGTTTAAATTTCATCTCTGCAGGTGTCAATCAGTGCTGTGAAAGCTGCCATATTCCCCCGCTGCTCTGTGGCATTTTTTTTGGTGAGAAAAACGCCTTTTTGTTCTCCATGCCTGTTCCGGTCTTTTGGCAGATTTCAACAACACACAATGGCAGCATTTGAAGAACGCTGGAAGTGGATGAAAGCAAACCACAGTAATAAGAAGCAGCAGATAGCCCCAACACATGAGGGGAGCAATTCTCTCAGCAGAAAATAAATATGAATTGTACTACTGGAGGGAAGGACACTGATTGCAATCTGCTAGGGCGCAAACAGTGTTGCACTGTGGTGAGCCATTAAAAGGCCAATTGTCTGGGATGCGAGGCCATGGGTGGGCGGACTTAGAAAGACCCGAAAATAGGTGTTAATTATAATAAGGCTAGGTTCCCCTTTCCTAGAATAGAGAGGAAGTACTGGTTTTCCAAGGGGAGTCAATGCGTTTATCCACATCCTCTTTGGAGTTTACAATCTATGATCTTCCGTTGTCTTGGAAAATGAGGCAACACTGTTCCCTTGATTGATAACAAATGAGTATTGAGGAAATGTGAATATATATAATATGTACTGTAGCTCTTTGTGCTCTTTTTCAGTGGAGTTTGTATGTCTTCACAATAGAGCTACACTTGGGACACTCCCACACTTTTAAAAGTAATTCTGTGAAATTTAACAATAAGCATGTTGTCTGCAATGTTTCAAGCCATGTTATAAACATACACCCATCCCCTCTGTTACATTGAAACATGCAGAAGTCCACATGGAAGACGGGACTTTGCTTCAATTACTGTCCATTACAGTGGTGGTCAAATCAAAGTCTTTCTATTCATTAAATGTTGAATTTTTTCCCAGAAAGTTTATTTTAGTAAATGTGCCATTTCACTAAGTCTCCGAGAGTCATATTTATGTAATGGCTCAATATCTTGACTGGGAATGATGTCTGATGACAGAAACATGAAAGCATAAAGGACCCTGTCGGGAGTGTTAAAGGCTGGTATAGAAGGCACTTTTGCTCTCACGCCATACCACAGGAACTCAGCCTGATTACTGTCAAGCCTTAAATTACAGTCTTCTAAAGGGTAACATCTTCTTCAATCTAAGCACCCCCATCCTCTCAATCCCCTGATCCGCCGTCCGTCTTCAAGAATGAGACAATCAGGGAAAATATGGGATCGGTACACTTAATGCAACATGTTTTCTCTTAATTTTTATAAATATGCCTGCCGTTTTTTTTTTTTTGTTAACGATGCTGTAATTCCACCCTGAAACCCCAAAACAAACAAGGAGATAGACAGGAAATCTTACTCACTTTCGCAGCATTCACGAGATTTCTCATTTCAGCTCTGTTAAATATTTTTCTGTATTTTTCCCCAGCTTTGTCAATAGAAAGGCAAAGTTTTTTCCCCAAGTGTCCTTTGAAAAGCTCACACAGTGGAGGACTAGGAAAAGGTAGAAACGCAAAGTCTATACAGTATGTGGATTCCATGTTTTGGCCTATCCACTAACTTGCAAAATAAGGCCTGATTTTGGAAAAAAATTCTCCATTCATCAAAAATGTTTCATGACCATAATTGAATTACAGGGCAACAGTAGTAATGTAATCAGCACGTTTCCTGTCATGGTAATAGGCTGCCTGTTGAATGAGGGTGGGCAGCAGTAGAGGCCTCACATGTTCGTTTAAAGAATGTCCCTCTTTGTTGTGTGCAGATGATTCTGTTTCTCATCTGCCTCTTTCTATGACTCCTCTTCCACCTCAGGTCCTCTGAAGACGGACAGTTTTGCTGACAAGAGGCCCCTGTTGGGGGTTTGCAAGAGCACAGGGTCCTCTGGGTGAGTTCACACATCATAATAAAGCTGACATCACCTCCTTTCTCAACAGGATCTTAGATTTTTAGAAGTCCTCTGTTGTCTTCTATTATGTGCTACTGCAAGTCCTGAAGATTCCAACCTAAAAGCAGTTTTAGTCACTGATTAGCACACCATCAACCAGATATGAGTTACTGCTCTTGCAATTATGTTTGGCTGTAATGGAAGATTTGAAGCCAATATTGATTGTTACACTAGCAAATATAAATAAACCAATTTAAGCTGCACAAAATGGGTCAAAATAAACAATAAAAACAACAGCACAATTTCCCAGTACATGTAGCAATTAAGACAAACATGCCTTTGAGCTATATGTATTTATCTGAAGCATTAAGTTGAAAAGACAAAGGGGCCTTAAAGTAAACCATGAGTGATGCCAGAAGCCATGTGTTGAAAAAGAAGAATACTTTTTAACTGTGATGGAATGTGTGCTATCATTTTATTTTAAGTTAACCACCTCACCTATTAAATAATGACACCTTGTTGTGCGTCATGCATGTTAGGCTAAAATCAAGTCCGTCCTCTACAGACAATAGCTGACACAATGGCTGTATTAGACTAAATAATGAAGTGGTCATTCTGGCTGAATTTCAGCCTCTTAATTTAGCACATTTTGGAATTATGACTTTGAATGTAATTTGAGGTGTTTAACAACTATACTTGAAACTCTATGAACTACTCTGAAAGAACAGTAAAAACTATGGGTGTTCCAATAAATCCCAATTCTAAATCTGACATACCTTGTTCTTCACAAGGTACTTGATCCAAATGCTGAAGGTCCTAGTTCAAAACTAAAAAGTTAATTTGGTTGGTTTGAGTTATTGATCACTATTGAAATTATTGACTTGAATGAAAGTTTAACCAGAGAACGCAACTTGTGAAAGTGATGTTATGCAGTCAGCTAGAGAGAAGATGTATCATTCTTTTGGAGTTGTTGAAACTACAGAAACACTGAATCCACTCTCATTGTACAGTGTCACAGAGTGGAGCTTATTCCCTCACGCTACTCAAAGAATTAACGTTAATTAGTGATGGCTGATATGAAAGGTAAAAACACCGGTCAGCACTGGATAAAAACGAGAAGCTGTTGCCAGAATGTTTAGACACTGCTGTTTGCTATGAGACAGAGAAAAACTAATTTGTTTTTGTTAAAACATTGTGAATTCATGTCTGAACACATCCACATTTTACAAATTCATACACCTAAATTTGTCGCCAAACACAACATTGATCATTGTTAATGTGGCCAATTCGTTTGCAAAGTGTTGCCTATCACATCTAGCAGGCACAGGGAAACATTAGCTTTTATCCAGTGTTTTGTGTCCACCTGATGAGTGGAAATCCAATATTTACTCCATTGGTTTTCACCAACCTTGTTGACCTAGCAGCACTAGCTTGCTGTTTAGTACTTGGCAGGTAGCATACAGTGGGTTTGTTAGAGGTTTTTGGTTGAAAACAATTGATGGTGAAAACTATATTGGCGAGAGCACTAAGAGTGAACCAAAAAAGTAAAGCTACGGGCTGTAAAACCAAAACAATAAGCTGAAAGATGCAGGAAAAACCTGGGCCTTAATTTTTTTATTTCATATATTTAATATTTTATTAACAATGCCAACCAAAGTCTATTTAGTATTTATTCATTTTTATAATAGTTCTCACTATAAAATATTCACAATGTAGGTCACTTTAGCTTATAATGAACTCCAAGCCCAAGATTTTATACTTTCACTCCGCCTTCATGACATGAGTATTGTCTGTTTTTGTCGTTAGAATTGGAAATCTCATCTGTTCTCTACACACACTCAGAGCTTTGACTGACAGCATTGCAGATGTGGACACAGCAAACCAAATCAGTCCTTTTGAATCAAATTGAGCATTCTTTTGAAGCTTGAGAACATTAGAAACATATTTCATCTTATAATATAATGCAGTCCAGTACAACACCACCACTAACAACAAAGTAAGTAAGTTGAGCTAACACCTCTCAGTGACAATGAAGTGGCCAGACAGTGTAAGTGTGTCATTTATAAGGTTAGTTTCAGTGGATCAGCCCTGAAAATACAGGGATTGACCAAAAGGAGAGAAACTAGAGTAACCTCTATGTGCTTCTGGAATGACCCATCCTCATGACATTTGGTCTATAAAAAGTGCAGAAGGGGGTGGAAAGTGTTTTACTCCTTGCAATGTTATGAAGTACAAATTCTACATCTGAAAGTAATTTTCTGTTAATAATAAGAGGCATCAAAGGACACCCAACTTCTTGTTATGAACCGTTCACATGCACCCAACTGGAGCTGAGCCAGTGATGTGGGCTTAGTGACTGTGAATCATGGATTCTTAGTGGCACTATGGTTAGAATTCAAGCAGTACCTGAACGCCCCATAGGCAGACAAAAAGGATTCCAAACAGATGTGTAGATCCCTGGGATTCTGAGTTGGAATCAGGAATGTCATGTCTCTGTTAAGTGAAAGAAAGTGAATTTTAAAAATGACAGACCCCAAGGCACCTCTTCATACCCAATCCATGCCTTCCCCTCTCCCTCTTCCCCCATTTACTCAAGCTGCTCTTCCAGAGCAACACAAAATTTAACTCAATATATCCTCCCGGGGAAATGAAATAAGGAAGTCTGTCATCAGCTGGGTCTTGATGGAGACCACCTTCTTGATGTTTTCCAGGGACTGCCGCCCCTGTCTCTCTGATGCCGTTACTGTTGCTTCTGCTTTTCCTATGTCCTCGCTGACACTGAGACAGGCAGCGTTTTGACGGTTTGGCGAATCATCCAGGCGTCGCTCGACACTAATGCTGAAAACATGCACTGTGTTGAAAAGCAGAAACCCTGACCTCTGGCTGAATGGCACAGCCTGGTTCTTCCCCCTACAGAAGTGCTTGGTAAATAACACTCTGGTCAAAGACGAGAAGGAAAAAGGCTTCCGGGTGCGGCGCAGTACTTTCCATTGGGCCTGTTCATAAACTTACTAAAGTCCTCACACAATTTTTAGCATATAATCATTTTGAAATAACAGATTTTGTTAACCACCAAAAAGGATGCCGTCTTGACACTTAAATGGAAAACAGATTGGAGCCTTGGCCGCTACAGCGGTGCTGGTTTAGAAGTTGGTTCAGTCAGCTCTAGGCTTAGATTACAAGATTTGCAAATTAAAGGAAAACCAGAGAAGGGAAAAAGCATGTGTGCTGAAGCCCTGTACTTGTGGATTTCCAGCCAGGCACACTCAACATAATTTTATCAATGGAAAGGATTATGCGTTAAGTCCAAACAATGTATAGATCCAGTGATTTTCTTGACAGTAAAGCTACATATGCGTCCCTTTCACTCTCTGCACCAGTGCCAGTGGGCTTCGGGAATTAGTACAGAATGCTGGTGCCATTGCAGACCTTGGTATGTCTGCTCACATTTCTAGAAAGGATTTGTGTTTCCTTCCCCTTCTTGCTGTTATTATTTTCTTTCGTTTTAATTAGATACACAGGTATTAAAAGTCTAGGAGATTTAAGGCTGCTCTCTCTGAATGAATGTAAATTTTATGGCTACGGCGGAGGCAACTTAAGTATTTGTGGGTGTCTGAGTGCACATACTTCTTGGGCAAAAGTTCAGTGATGAATAAGCGTGCTTTGTTCTCCAGAGTTTGGGAACTGTCAGTGACATTTCCAACCTCCAGCTACCCCCTCACAACATCTCCAGATGCTGAGAGGATGTGGTCCTTTTTTCTTTTAACCAATATAGTCCTCTTTCACCATGCACATACTACTACTGGATGTGCTATTTTGGGGTTCTGGCTAATGCAGTTGGATATTCTGAGCAGATATCATTGTCACCTTTGCTGGCCATGGATACTCTTTTTTTTATTTTTATTTTTTTTCCGAATGACAGCACAGTCAGTGGGCTTTAAGCTGCACTATGCCATGAATGTCACCACTGTCATTCATGTCTCATACTTTTTATTTCCCATTTGTCTATTGTACATTCAACATTTTCCTTCTTTCGTACATTTTTTCATTGTATTATTCATTATTATTGTATGAAGTCTGTGTTGCGGACCTGGCCACACTTGTGGTGACTGCTGATCACATTAAGTGCAATGTGACAGTGTCTTGTCTGCAAGAAATACAGTATATTACAAAACGAGAAGCTTGTGTTCCATAAATAATAAATAAATATCTAAACTGGATAGAGGATAATGTACAAACAATGTATGTTTTAAATGTGCTTTTCAGAGTCTCTTTCTAGGTGTTGCAGATAAGGTTGAAAATGTCTGTTATTAATGTTGGAATGAAGTGATCCGTCTCTCCACAAAATCTAAACTTCTTTTTTTCCCCTAGACACCTGAAATCTGACAGTTTGAATACTTTACAGCATTTTTAAGTAATTTAAGTAATTGCTTTTCCTTGTCCTATGTGATAGTCAGTTGTGATAGATTGTGTATTTTAACTATTTTCTGACATTTTATTGCTCAAACAATCTATCGATTGACAAAATAATTTGCAGATGAATTGATAGTGAAAATAATTATTTTTTGCAGCCCTAGTTCACAAATTGTTCTCGTTTTCTTTTCTTGGCTACCTAACCTACTTCAGTATTTTACTGTTGTGGACACTTCATACACTTGGTTGGTAACAACAACCATGTCAGCATGGGAGAAGGGCATGTTAGGGCAAATAATATTATGAGTCTGGCAGTGTTCCTGAATAGTCCATAATACACTGAGTGCCCTTGATTTTTCCATTCTTGTAGAGGATATTTCTTTTAACTCTGTTAGAGGTTTGCCTAAAGTCAGCTGAAAAACCTGTTTATGTTCTTACTTAAATGAAATGTGACAATTTTATTGAGCAAGCTGGTCATTTTCATAGCCCAATTACCACTGCATACACTGTCTAAAGGAGTTGGGTCTCTGCAGCTTTGCTATGGCATTGTAGAACAAGTCCCCCCCCCCAAAAAAAAAATAGTTGTA